GTCTCTGGGTGTGTGGAGCCCCCAGTGGGGAGGTGTGGGGTCCCTGGATGTGTGGAGCCCCAAGTGGGAAGGTGTGGGGTCCCTGGGCGTGTGGAGACCCTGGTGGGGAGGTGTGGGGTCTCTGGGCATGTGGAGCCCCCGGTGGGGAGGTGTGGGGTCTCTGGGCGTGTGGAGCCCCCGGTGGGGAGGTGTGGGGTCTCTGGGCGTGTGGAGCCCCCGGTGGGGAGGTGTGGGGTCCCTGGGCATGTGGAGCCCCAGCTGGAGGGAGCTGTGACTCCGAGGCTGAGTGGTGGAGAATCATGTGGAGCTGCCCGTCTCCCAGACAACAATCCGGCCCCACCTCCACCCCCATAAGCGGTGCCTGCTGAGTGAACAAGGCACGAGGACATTCTCTTGGCCCATTTGCTTCTGTTGGTCGGCAGGCATGTGTGGGTGCCCCCTCACGTCAGCAGTGCCAGGAGTGAGTGGCCTGCCTGCCACCAGGGCTGGGGAGGCGTCTGAGCTCATCTGGGTCTCTGCTGTTGATACTTGTGGCTCATCTGTGTTTATTTGAATGAGTTTTCCTAGTCACTCGTAGTCATGCGGAGTGAGCTGAGTAGATGGAAGCGAATCGAGGCACACAGGAGGGCCCTCTGTGCTTTGCTGGCGGCACCGCCTGCCTGGCCATGGGCCACTGGCTCTGTGTGAGGGTCTCTGTTCCTTCCATAGGGGCAGGGAAGTCTGCAGACCCCAAGAGACACTGGGATCATCCAACTCGGGCTCACAAGAAAACCCCCGTGCGGCGAGAAAGAGCCAGGGAAGGAATCAGCTTTAGGAAGAGCTTCAGGCTGGACACAGATGACAGGCAGCTTCCCAGAACTGCTCCGGAAAAGACAGACACCACGCCCGCGGCTTTCCCGTGTCAGCTTCTCACGCGGTGCTGTGGGCAGCGGCCGGGCCGCAGAGAGCGCCGGAGGCAGCGCGCCGTAGAGCTGTCATTTATCTGTGGCACCTGTGGGAAGGCGCTCAGCTGCCACAGCCGGCTGCTCGCTCACCAGACGGTGCACACGGGGACTAAGGCCTTCCAGTGCCCTGAGTGCGGCCAGACCTTCCGGTGGGCTTCCAACCTGCAGCGTCACCAGAAGAACCACACGAGCGAGAAGCCCTTCTGCTGTGAGGCATGTGGGCAGGCGTTCAGCCTGAAGGACCGCCTGGCTCAGCACCGCAAGGTCCACACGGAGCACAGGCCCTACCCATGCAGCGACTGCGGGAAAGCCTTCAAGCAGAAGTCCAACCTGCTCCGACACCAACTGGTGCACAGCGGGGAGCGGCCCTTCTACTGTGCGGACTGTGGCAAGGCTTTCCGGACCAAGGAGAACCTCAGCCACCACCAGAGGGTGCACAGCGGGGAGAAGCCCTACACCTGCAGCGACTGCGGCAAGGCCTTCCGGTGGCCCAAGGGCTTCAGCATCCACCGGAGGCTGCACCTGACTAAGAGGTCCTATGAGTGCCACCACTGCGGGAAGGGCTTCCGCCACCTGGGCTTCTTCACGCGGCATCAGGGGACGCACAGGCACGGGGAAATGTAGAGGCTCCCGAGGGCTGGGCGTGCGCCTCCGCGGCAGTGCTGGCTGAGGAGGGCTGCAGAGAGAAGATGCTCTTCAGCCTGGAAAATCAACCTGAGAAGCCGTCTCCGTCCCCACGGCTCCCCGGACCCCCAAGAAGTTTTACTGGGAAAACTGCCAGCAGGGAGAAGCGGATCCATGAGTATGCCGGAGATGGTGGGGGCTGTGCCCCAGCGCCAGGCACCTTGGGGACGTGCTGAGAGCGTGTGCGAACTTGGAGCAAGCCGCACTCCCGGCCTGGGCTCAAAGGCGGAGCAGCCTGCCTGGTGCGCACAGCTGTTGGCTCAGGGACTCCACCCCGGCCCCGGGTCGCTGTGTGCTGGGCCTTTCTTCCTGCCTCTGCACCCCATACTCGCTGCCCGGTCTGGCTTCAATTCCTGTCTCTGTCTTGGGTGAGGTGAGGCAGCTGTGAGCATTGCACAGAGGCAAAACCCCTCCTGCAGCCTCTGCGTCTGGGCCATAGAAACGAGAGCCTTTGTAATACTGAAGGCTCGTTCACGGATTAGTGAGGGTGCTCAGCTGGTTAGGCAGGCCACCCCCGTGCTGCAGAAATGGCCTCCACCCAGCCCCGCCGCTCAGAGTCTTGGGCACGCACCTGGAATTGGCAGATCGAGTTGGGTCTCGGCAGTGCAGTGACCGTATTTGCCACAGGGCGTTTCGTGGGGAAGAGGTGACCTCTGTTTTAAACTTAAGATGTCTGCTTAACCAGCCAGAAATAAACATCTACCAGTGGTGATCCCAAGGGGAGACCCCCATGTTTCAGGTTAGCTGAACCGTTGAAGGATTTTTGGTTTTGCCTGTTTTTCTTTAAGAAATCCAGCCAACACATGCACATGTAATGTCGGAATCAGAAACGAGTTTCTAGGGAAGAGGAGAAGGTGGACATGGCGAGAGGAAGCCCTGAGTTAGGTCAGGACAGAGACACCACCAGACGGCGGCGTTCCCATGGGAAGCGGGCATGCAGAAAGGCCGAGGGGGCTGTGTGTGACCCTGCTTTGAGCAAACCAAGTGCAAAGTCTTTTTTTTTTTTTTTTTTTTTGAGACGGAGTTTCACTCATGTTACCCAGGCTGGAGTGCAATGGCGTGATCTCGGCTCACCGTAACCTCCGCCCCCTGGGTTCAGGCAATTCTCCTGCCCCAGCCTCCTGAATAGCTGGGATTACAGGCACGCGCCACCATGCCCAGCTAATGTTTTGTATTTTTAGTAGAGACGGGGTTTCACCATGTTGACCAGGATGGTCTCGATCTCTTGACCTCGTGATCCACCCGCCTCGGCCTCCCAAAGTGCTGGGATTACAGGCTTGAGCCACCGCGCCCGGCCGTGCAAAGTCTTTTTTTTTTTTTTTTTGAGATGGAGTCTTGCTCTGTTGCCAGGCTGGAGTGCACTGGATGATCTCAGCTCACTGCAACCTCCACCTCCCGGGTTCAAGTGATTCTCCTGCCTCAGTCTCCCAAGCAGCTGGGATTACAAGCGCGCACCGCCACGCCCATCTGGTTTTTTTGTATTTATAGTAGAGATGGAGTTTCACCATGTTGGCCAGGATAGTCTCCATCTCTTGACCTCACGATCCACCCACCTCAGCCTCCCAAAGTGCTGGGATTACAGGCATGAGCCACGATGCCCGGCCTGTGCAGTCACACTTGAGACCGACGTGGAAATGTGAGCGTGGGCTGTGAGTGGGGTGGGGTGAGGAATTGGCTGTTGGCAGTGATGGTGACACGGGTTGTGTTTGAGGAAGAACCCTCACTCAGATGCGTTCTCAAGTGTTTATTGGGAAATGATGTGGCGCCTGGGATGTGCTTTAAAATGCTAATAAAAAGGAGAAAGACACAGTAGTATTTGAACATTGACAGCTGTTGAAGCTAGGAGGTTAGTGCGTTTGAAAATTGCCCTAAATCTTTTATTTACAGCATACGTATGAGTTCTTTAGTGCTCACTGAAGATTGTAGAGAGCAGCTGTAAGTCATGGAGTTACAAGGCTGCCTTAACAGGACACCACAGACGGTGCCACAGAGAACAGAGGTTTATTTTCTCCAGCTCTGAAGGCTGAAGTCCCAGGTAGAGGTGCCAACAGGCTCCGTTTCTGCTCAGCACCTCCTGGTTCACAGAGGTGTCCTCATGTGGGGAGGGGCTTTGGTGTCATCTTTTCCTTGTGAGGGACTGGATCCCGTGGGGAGGGACCACCCCTATGACCCCATCGAAGCCAAATCACCTCCCAGAGACCTCCTCATACCACTGCCTTGGGCTTAGGGGCTCCACATGGGAATTCCAGAGTGACAATTCGGCTGTAGCAGAAGCTCCTCTGGGTCAGTCCTGGCCCACAGACCCTGTGCAGGAAAAGCACTTCTGCAGGGCGGACTCTGGCAGAGCTCAGTGAGGCCATGAGGGCCCTGCAGGATAAGTGGAAATCTACCCTGTGGGGTGTGTGGGTGCCTTTCCATAACTCACGGAGTCCAGGCTGGTAGGAGCGCATGTATGCTTCGTGTCTGGTTTGTCCCCTGCCCAGCGGGTGCCATTGGAAGGGCCTTCGGTGCTTGAGCGCAGGTGGGGACAGAGCAGCTGATGTCCCGGCAGTAGACACGAGGGGTCATGAAGACAGGTTTTGAGCGCCCTGCCCTGCAGGAAGCAGCTGGCCGCATCCAGGGTCATTGGAGCCTGGTCGTTAGTCCTTCACAGTGCTGTCACTTTGTGACACAATTGTGGGGGGATTTAAATGTGAACAACAAAGACTGGTAACGTACTGCCCCATCTCCTGACCGTCAGTTGTCTGAGCAGGCTGCCTTGGCTCTTGGTGGCCGTGTCATCCGGGGCTCACGCACTGCCGGCTCTTGGCCCCGTCATCTGGGGCTCATGCACTGGATAGTTTGGCCACAGGCATGGTGCACCCCAGGCTGCAAGTTTTCAACCCTGCTTAGCGGGGCTCTGGGTAGAGCAGGGGTCCCTCTCTTGGTATTTCCCAGGGAGGAGCATGGCCATGCTCAGCTGATGTCAAGCTGCAGCTCTTAGCTGTCTGCCCTCCTAACACTCAGACTTCCCTTCCTGCTTTGCAGGGTCGCTGGAGAAGATCAGGCCCACAGAAGAGCCCTGGGTAGAGAATGGTGGGATGAGGCTGTGGGGGTGCAAAGGGCAGGGAGGCTCTGTTGGCCTCCTCACCACCAGCTCCATCCTCCCGGGCAGGAGTGGGGTGAGTGACAGGAGGACTCACAGCAGGTGTCTCGTTCGGAGCACCTTCCTTCCTGGGGCCAGCAACCGTCGCTCCCTAGGAGCCTGTGTGGCCAAGTTTTCTCTGCATTTATCCTGGGCAGAGGATGCATGAAACTACTTTGTGGCCAAATGGGTGCACAGCAGGGTCTGCTGACAGCCATGCTAGTGACCTGGCCTCCCATCCCTTTGTCTTCTGGGGACAGTTGCTTGCCTTGCCTTTGTGTCAGCACTCAGGACACAGGTGCCCAGTATAAAGTCCACCAAGATTAGCTGGGTGTGGTGGTGGGTGCCTGTAATCCCAGCTTCTCAGGAGTCTGAGGTAAGAGAATCACTTGAACCTGGGAGGTGGAGGTTGTCCGAGCAGGCTGCCTTGGCTCTTGGTGGCCTCGTCATCCGGGGCTCACGCACTGCTGGCTCTTGCGTTTGGACGCTGCTGAACAGACGCTGGGCGGAGCCAGCAGCCCAGTGCTGTCGTGGCTATACGGTGGCCACCTGTGCAGGACACGCTCTCCATCGCCCGCCTTCAGGTTTACTCAGCAAAGCCGCACACCTGAGCCCCTTAGCATTTAGTGAAGAGTATTCTGAGTTACAGTTCACACAGACCTTCTGCTGTCCGGGAAGTACTGCCCCACTCCTGTGGAGTGAGCTCTACGGAGGGCGGAGTGTGTCCACCACCAACATGGAGTCTGCGCACACACAGGCCTGTGACAGTCCCATGTGGAGACAGTCCCCCGCGGAGCCAGTTCCACAACCCACAGAGCGTCCTCGGCGTTGCACTGCTCCAGACGGACGCTTGCCGAGACGGACTGTCTCAGCCCCTGCACTAATTCCACCTCCTGTGACAGACCGTGGCAACGCTCGGTCCCCGTAACCCTTGGCTTTGAAAACAGCGTATGTGGGCTTCTTTCTTGTTTCTGTGTTGTTGCTGTTGTTTTCAGATGGAGTCTCGCTCTGTCTCCCAAGCTGGAGTGCAGTGGCTCAATCTCGGCTCACTGCAACGTCAACCTTCCAGGTTCAAGGGATTCTCCTGCCTCAGCCTCCCAAGTAGCTGGGATTACAGGCACAAGCCACCACGCCCAGCTGATGTTTGTATTTTTAGCAGTGACGGGTTTTGCCATGTTGTCGAGGCTGGTCTCGAACTCCTGACCTCAGGTGATCCGCCCCCCAAGGCCTCCCAAAGTGCTGGGATTACAGGCGTGAGCCACCGCGCCCGGCCCTTTTTGTCTTTAAGATTTGCCTTTCCCCAACTCCCCTGGATACACCTATGACCTGCCAAAGCTGGCATACCCTGAATTGCAATCCTCTGCCATTCCCAAGCCAACAAAAACTTGTCTCTGAGTTTCTTTTTAGGTTCACACCACAAATACTTGCCCAGTGCCTGTGTAGGCACAAACCTGCGTGTGTGTGCTCCTTGTTGTGTGCGTGCCCTGCGTGTGTGTCTCTCATTCCATCTGTGTGCGCTCCTTCTAGCAGCCCCATACTGTCCCAGGACACCGTCCTGCCATCCCAGTGTCTGGGTGACATCATGAATCCTGCTGCAGCGAACATGTCTGCTCTTACATCTGTGTGCACAGGTGCCCGTATCCCAGCTTTGCGTCCGCATGCGCCTAGACCTTGCCAGGCTCCTGGAGCTGCTGTAACAGAGCACCCAGACCAGGTGGCTTCAGACAACAGAAATTTTCTCACGGTTCTGGGGGCCTGATGTCCAAAATCAAGGCATCCTCAGGGCAGTTCTCCCTCTGAAACCTGTCGGGGAGGATCCTCCCTTGCTTCTTCCAGTTTTCAGTGTTGCTGGGAGTTCCTGGCAGTTCTTGGTTTGTAGACAATCACTCCAACCTCTGCCTCTGTTGGCACACACGTGCTCCCTGTGTCTGTCTTCATGTGACCACCTTCTAATAAGGACACCAGTTACAATGGATTAGGGCCTACCCTAATGACCTCAGCTAATTACATCTGCAACAACCTCGTCTCCAAATACTGTCACGTTCTGAGGTACTGGGGGTTAGGGCCTGAATATATATATTTCAGAGGACTCAAGCAACCCACAGTGAAGGTGCAGAATGGATTCCCAGAGGTTGATCTGTGAGTCTGAGAGTAGGGCTGTTTTAGATTTAATAGCAACAGGCAGCCAACATAAATGGGAGTGTTCCTCACTCCCAGGCCCCACAATGACGGGGTGCCCTGCACGGCCCCTCACTCTGGGTCTTCCTGGCATTGCCTCGACCTGCCCCTCCCTGGCTCCTAGGGCAGCATGGCTCTCTTCAGACATGCTTCAGCATTTGTACTTCTTTGGCGTTCAAGTCATTTGTCTGCTTTTTCTGGTTGGTTGTTGGGTCTTTTCTTATAGCTCTGTAGAAAGTAAAAAGCTCCTTTCTTGTTAAAGAAGAATAATAATAAATGTTAGAAATAATAGTTTGTTTTAAAGGCTAACTTTCTTCAAAGCCATCTTGCTTTTTGCTAGTAGCTCTTTGTGAAAGAAGCCCTGTCCTATGTAGCTGATAGACATGCTCACGGACACATAGTACATTCTATGTCCGTGTACTTTAACCGAGAAACCTGTGC